TCCCACTTTTTCTTTTTCTCTCAGTTGGTGTGCTCTCAAAAATGAAAAGCTACCTAACTCATTTTAAGAAACGCCTCGATTGAATTCGATAAATGCTGAAATTTCGAGGGAAATTCGGAAAATCCTCCGAGAATCGATGGATCTAAAATTTTCTTTGCCAATTCCTGAAGTTTCGTGTTTTCCGCTTCCTTTTTAACATAATTCCTCGAAGCCACAACTCCATCGATTAGAAGTGTCTTGTAAGCCGTAATCAAAAATTCAGCAGTTTCTAATTTATCGATTTCTTGTGTATTTGATTGTTTCATTGATTTCCAACATGTGAATATCATTTTCTTCATACTTTTTGATGGTAAAATTGATAGCCTGGCTAGCTCATCAATCGGTTTCTCGCAAAAACTCTCGAATTTTTCGATAATTTCTTGAAGTTTCATTGAATTCTCTTCTATTTTCCACGTCTTCACTTCGACTCCCGCAGGAATATTCGAATTTCGAAAGGAAAAATCAGTTTCCGACTGTTCAATCCAATCTGATAAGTGTAAATTTGTTATCATAATCTGCCGTTTTGTGATTGAAGCTGTCCGACGAGAAGTGTTCGATGTTGCAGTGGTGAGAACGACGCATCGGAAGAATACCTAAATAATTCATTTACAAGCTGAAAATGAACAAAAAACAAACATCTTTAACAGTCAGCGCATTAATAATTGGTTTATATTTCGAACAACATTCACTGGGTTTTAGCTCCATTATAACGAGCCGAATCTCGTCTAGAAACTCCAGAGATTCCGAAGATTCCAAGATTTTCAAAGCGCACTGCGGTGTTGCGCACATCATGATCCTTCCAGACTCTTTCTTCATATTTTTAAACTGCGTCATCGTTGTGAACTTCGTCGTTTGCGATTCGAGACCCAATTGACGTAGAGAAGTGAGCCAGCTGTCAGAAGCGGTGACGAGAAGAATGCGGCAACGGGGAAACCATCTGAATAACAGATTTTCAGGTAAAAAGAAACTTTATTTGAAGCGAACTTCAAAAAATTGAACACAGTCATAGCGCAAATTCTTCCAGAAGACGACGACGCTGATGCAGGAAGAGCGATACAGCAATTCGACGTGGCAGTGCATTTCAGAAGATTTAACTGAAACGATTATAACATCAAACATCCGCCTAAAAACAGAGGAAAACCTCGAAATTCCGAATAGGTTCATCGATTGGATAGAATATTCCATTTCCGTGTATTCCATCGAATCCATTCGCAAGAAGATCCGATTTACTAGCGTTTCCGTTCGCTTTCTTCGCACTTCCGACTTTAATTGGAAACGGATGCTGCCAATCTCTTCCCATTCTCTTTTCAGCACTTTTCTGCAATGTCGTCGACCATTTTGTTGCTGATTTCGGTGTTGTGTTGACGCTCGATGTGCTCGGAACGGGTTTTTCGAAAAGAATCTGACACGATTCGTCGTCCAATTGATTATCTGATGATCTTGCGTTATTCTGATACTTTTCCTGTTGCTGTTTCGCGAAAAATTGCAATAATCCGGGTTTCGGCGTTTTCTTTGGTGGCATTTTTGTCTGAAAATCGGAAATTTGTGTGTGCAAAAATAAAAATTATGTCAAAAAATTCTTTTCAAGTCTGGCGCCGCGCGCCGCAAACACAAAGGCAACAAAATGCAGAAAAAAATAGAAAAATAAATCAGAAGGAATTAAATAAGAAAAATTTGAACGGAATTATTTACTAAATTTTTATGAGTCTTAGTATTTTTAGACAAGGAGAACAAAAAATAGGCAATTAGTCTTTGACTACACTACTCTTTGACTAGTTCGCTTTTCATTCTTTTCAGATTTTTTATAAAGTCAGCGAAAAAAATATATAAAATTCGGTGAAAAACGCTCGAAAATGATGTAATATCTCTAATAAGGGTCGTCGACCTAAGCCCCGCCCACATTGCACGCAAAGTATAGCAGACGGCGGAACCCGGGAGATGTCGGTACACCTGGGAGACCCCACTGTATAATCGCCTCGTTAGGTCTTTCGGTGAACATCACTCAATACAGCAGGTGATTCGTGATTGACCAATTACAGATGAAGAGCTATAAACGACCCAATTACTCACCTACCGCAAACTAGTGCTTCTACAATTGAGCATATAGACATTGCGTATCTTACTAACTGACCCTATAAAAGATCTACAATTGACCAGTCGCGAAAAAATTCTTGTTTTTCCTTTTTCAAAGTTCTTTCACCTATTTTGGTTATTTTTCATTTATTTTTTTCAGTTTCCTTCGCAAATTTTTGTCCGTAAATTATTATTTAACCTACAAGAGCATACTAGAATACTGTCTCAGCCAGTATTTTGCTTTTTATTTGCAGAAAAATTGGAAAAATGGCCAGGAGACAACTGTCGGAAGCTAGAAGTCGAAATTTCGGTTTATTCAGGAGATAGCACTGCTACTGTACTTTGAAAAGGTAAGAAGTGTTCAGAAAGTCCGAATTTCAAATCCAATTTTTACAGAGAGCCAGGAAATTCTCAATTTTCTGGTGAGTCCACTGAGTACTCCGGAAAAGAAACGACTGAATAAGAGGAAGGAAGAAAAACTGGAACAGTGGGTAGATTTGAAAAAAAAAATCTGAGAAAAAACTTTAGATTTCAGTCGGAAGTGTCAAATTCGCTGATTTCGAGAAAATTTCCAGCCGATAACTTCTGTCATATAGTACAAAAATTAGTGGGAGCTTAAAATTTCGATTTATCATTTCAGTTTGCTAACCGAGATTCTACAGCTTCTTCTCCTCTCCCACTTGGACCGTCATCGAAAAAGACAAAAGCTGACAGAAGTAGAAGCTTCGACGCCGTTCCAGCCAATACGATGACAGCGGAAGAGAATAATATAACTTTTAATTAATTGTTTTTTCGTTTTTCCTTGTTTTTTCTGTGCAATAAACAATTTTTAGCAGCTGCTAGCTTCCATATTCAAAAAAATATATGCCAATTTTTGCTCTCGCGACAAGCCAATTGTAGGAGATTTGCTCGCGATAGAGCGAATATTGATCGTTTGCGGTGGCGCGTTCGCGATTGGTCTGTAAATGGCCTGCGGCAGGCATGTACCGATGTACCCATGGCGATTTTCCGCGAACAATATTTCACCTATTATAGACGCTGCGCGAATCACCTGTGTAATCTCTTCTGAGTCGGCTGAGATCCTAAGGATGGTTGGCAGGCAGGGGAGCTCCTAGGTTAGTATGCATACTCCCTAGTGGCTCAGCAGAGATCGTCTGATAGGATCCCCCGAGATAACCGCGGGTACATCCCGGGAATGTTCTGAGCTCTGAATGGCCTGTGTTGCAAAAAAAAAACTAAATCCGAAGTATAGTTTTGATAATATGCTTAATTTTCGTCAGCTTTTCAGCTTTTCATCAGCTTTTTCAGCTTTTTCAGCTTATTTCAGTTTTTCCAGCTTTTTTCGGCTTTTTCAGCTTTTTTCGGCTTTTTCAGCTTTTTTCAGCTTTTTCCAGCTTTTTCAGCTTTTCGTCCGTTTTTGTTTGTCCGCTTAGGTTCGTCAAGTTTGTCCTTCAGGTCCATTTTTCGTTAGCCAGGTCCATCCGTCAGATTCGTCCGTCAGGTTCGATCGTCAGGTTCGATCGAACCTGACAAAAGAACCTGACGAAAAAACCTGACGAAGAAACCTGACGATCGAACCTGACGATCGAAACTGACGGACGAACCTGGCAAACCTCTGTCAGGTTCGACAGTTAAGTTCGACTGTTTGGCGACGCCACGCGGTCGAACCTGACGAAAAACGCTGACGGACGAATCTGACGAAAAGACCTGACGGACTAACCTGACGGACGAACCTGACGAACCTGACGAAAGCGGAACAAAAAAACGGACAAAAAACGGACAAAAAACTGCCGAAAAGCTGATGATAAGCTAAAAAATTAAACATTTTACCAAAAATTTACTTCGGATCTAGCTTTCTGAAATTAAAAAATTATATAATTCTGAATTTCTGAAAATGTGAATTTCTGGTATTCTGAAATTTATTTTTTCTGAAGTCTAAAAAATTCAGAACTTCAGAATCTCAAATTTTCAGAATTTTAAAATTTCGTAACTACGGAATTTCAGAATCTAAGAACTACAGAGTTCCTGTATTCCAGACTTTCAAACATCGTGAATCTCCAAATTTCATATTTTCAGAATCTCGATATTTTAACATTTCAGAAAGTCAGAATGTCACAAGGTGAAATTCGGCGACTATTGTTACGTTGAAGCCCATGCTCGATTCTATAAATGTTTCAGAATTTAAGAATTTTTAAAAGAATTCTGAAAATAAAACAGCCTAAACAAAATCTTTATTCAGAGAAAAAAACATTGATTTAAAACTGATAGAAAGAGTTCATTTAGCCGATTTTTCAACTTTTTCCACACATTGAACAATCCCTGTCATTGAACATCGATTCTCTGGATCCGGAACAAAAACCTTTTCAGCCACATATTTTCGAAGTGAATCTGGTGCCGAACTCGACAATTTTAGAAATTCTCTCTTCTTGACCTGCAGAAAATCAATGTTTCGATTTTTGATCTAATTAAAACCTGAGCCCGAATCGTTTGTGCATTTTTCCCGTCATGCGGTTGCTGTCCATTCTCAAAAATCTCCCAAATGACGCATCCAAATGAGAAGACGTCGGTTTTCGGTGTGAACACAAACAGCTCTAAGGTCTCTGGGGCCAAATATCGAACCGGAATCTTGCAATGCTCCTTCATTTCGTAACGATCCGTTAGTTTCGCTAGTCCGAAATCAGAAACTTTTGGCTGAAAATTTGTTTTCGATTTCAAGAAGATCAGGAATTATGGGATTGAATATATTTTCGATGAGATTCTGTTAGGAAAAATGAAAAATATTATTCTGCTACGAAAAATAAAAGCTGTGGAAGAGAAACCAGAGTTGCCTTGTAAGGAGGTCCTACAAGGAAAACTACAGTAACCTAAAAATATTTGGACTTTTATCTTGATTTTCGGTTTTTCAGTCAATTTTCGAACAGTTTTTGAATACTGTTTTGATGTTAACTTTTATAAATTTGAGACTCCATCTAACAAACTGGTTTCGTTGTATTGTGACACCTAGAGCTTTAAAATGACTATACTAATGACCCACTTCCCAGAATTTTGAACTTTCTGACCCTACATGCACCTTTAAAGTCGAAAAACCAAAATGGGCGGATCCTAGTCGTGTTTATACTCATTTTGAAGCTCTCCGTGGTGCACCAAGTTTGTAAAATTATGTTTATCAACAAAACTTCAAGAAAGAAGAAAGTTAGCAAAAGCGAAATAAACTTTCCTGTACTTTTTACCAAAAATGTTTAATTTCCGACTTTATTGAGAAACTGAAAACTCGAAGAAAAGCGCTGAAAAAAAGATAAAATAAATCCGGGGAATAAACATATTTTTAGATTACGGTAATTGTCGTTGTGGGACACTCGACCTCATCTACTGGAGTTTATTTTAAAAAATTTCCAAAGTTTCCCGGAAAATGTTTAAATCTTGAAAAAATTTCGAAAAAATTCTGGCCAGAATAAGAATATGAATAGCTGACAGCAAGTTTTGAACAATGTTTCAGATTTTTGATCTCTTTAGAATCCGCAAATCGAAATTTTCAAAGCATTCCAAAAACTTAAGTAAATAGTGAAACAAAAAAGTTATGTATTCATTTTACTAATTTTCGATTTTTAAAATTAACACAGATCATCTAAAACAACTCACCGTCATGTTCTCAGTAAGAAACACATTTCTCACTGCCAAATCTCGATGAATAATCCGTTGGGAGTGAAGATATGCAACACCACGAGCAGCTCCAAGAACGAAATTCAGCTTGTCAGAAATCGTTATCGTTTTGTGATTCTCTTTTAGATATTCACGAAGAGCGCCATCTGGAAAAATGAAATGAGGAATGCCTACCCATGCCAAGCTCAAATATCTCGATTTCTGTGAAAGATATCAAAAAATTTTCAACTGATAAAATAATTGTCATAACATCACCAATATTTTATCAGTTGACAAATTTTTTGATATCTCTCACAGGAATTGAAATAATTGAGCTCAAAATTTCAACTCACTCGCACACAACTCATTCATCAGATACAATGGTTCACGAAGGACCGAGACTCCATAAGTCCTCAAAACATTTGGATGATCTAGACGTCTCATAACTCTAGCCTCATGAAGTAACTCATCCACTTGATCTCTTGTAATTGATTCTAACGAATTCTTCAACATCTTCACTGCCACGTCAACAACTGCAACAGTCTTTTTTGGATCTTTTGTAGTCATTCTTCCGACTCGAACATCTCCAAATGCACCTTCTCCAAGTTTCTTGGACATTAGTTCAATGTCGTCTTGATGGAATTCCCAAACAGAGAGATGACACGGATGGAGGAGTTGGAATTCGGACTGACAGTTATTTTAAAATTTTTGAAAGTTAAGTTTTAGATTTTTATACTTCTTTGTAAGTGGCTACTGTGCCCTGGTAGTATGAAAAGAAATCCGCAACTTTCATAAACCATTTTATGGAATCGATTGAGAATTTCCCATCGTTGGTTTTGATTACCAGATTTCGACAACTCGATTTTCCAGGAGACACTGCTTTCCCTTTTGAAAAATAATAATTTTTTAAGGAGGATTGCTGTAGTTGAAAATATTTGAAAATTTGCAAGGATTACTGTAAAGTCAAAAAAAATGTGAAAAAAAGGATTACTGTAGTTGAGAATTTTTGAAAAATGGGAAGGATAGATTAAAGTAGTTGAAAATGAAAAGGATTACTGTAGTTTCACGTATTTGAAAAATGGGAAGGATTACTGTAAATATAAATTATTTTAAAATGATAAGGATTACTGTAGAGTCTAAATATTAGAAAAAAGGTTTAATGTAGCTGTGAAATAGTAGAAAAAAACTCACTACTATGAACCGAAATCACAAAAACCTTGTTATTGTCCTTTGACCGATTCTTGGACCCTCTCGCCTTCGATCCTCTTTCCACACTTTTGGCTCCTTTCGATGCCTTTTTCTCATTCTCCTTACACGGTTGAACCGAAAGACGTACCAGCCAATCACCCGAATTTTTCAACAAAATTGTCACGTCTTCTCTACAAATGTATCCATGAAAATTGGGCATTTTGCAGATATGCTCTTCCAGAGTTTGAAAATCTTTTTTTGTAGTTTGAGGACGAGCACTGTGCCACGAGGAGCCATAAGTAGATGATGATTCTTTGACGACTTCTTTCTGAGCGTCGGTTTTCGGAGGTGATGAGGAAGACTCCTTAACGTCGGCTTCGCAAGATGGTTTCTTCTGAAAATTTGTGGAATTTTGCGAGGATCCAAAATACAACTAAAACCAGTTTTCTAGGTCTTTCCCAGCGCGAGTTATATCCATTTTTGCATTTTCGAAAGACGCAGAGAAACGAGAGCGCTCTCGTTTCTCTGCGTCTCTTTAGAAACTCAGTGAATACCTTTGCTCTAATCCCTCGTCCACTCAGTTTATCAGCACTCGACTCATTTTTCTCCCTGCTCTGTTTGTTTCCTTTGTTGGAACTTGGATTTGGACTTGGAATTTTTGGTGTGGCCGGGGATTTCAGATCCTTCTTCTGAGCCGTCGCAGTTTTCGCTTCTTTATCTCGAGATTCTTCCTGTGCTTCCATGGACCGTCGTTTTTCAGCTGGGCCTTTTTGTAGGTTTTTCCCCTTATTTTGCCTCATCTTAACTGAAAATTTTCAATTTACGCGAACCGCATTTTTGAAGTATTCAAATGGTATACTTATTCTCCTTTGACGCTCATTTAATGTGCTAACCATTTTTTGAAAAACTAAATAATTGTTGTCTAATAAAATGTAATAATAACCTGGAGATTTTGCAGTTTTTGCCTCAACCCCTCTCTCTTTTTCATCACGTGCGGAATCGGCGTCATCTTGAGAGTGCAGCTCTTTGCTTTCTCGATTTGCATCCGTTTCCTGGAATTTTCAGATTTTCTAGTGACCCCAGTTTTTTTCAGAAAAAAACCTTTCTCGCCATTAGCTTGAATAGATTTTTTGAAGACTGATTAATTCAAGACAGACACCTATTAGGTTGGCGGGAAAGTCTTTGTCACTTTTTCAATAGTTTATTTCTCAAAGAAAAAATAACCGAATAATTAATTATATTGTCCATCATTATCAACAACATGTCTCCAACGTTCCCTCAATTTATGGATTCCATTGCGGTAGAATCCAGCCGGGCGTGAGGCAAAGTATTGTTTGAGTGCCGCTTCGACCGCTCCACGGGAATTGAAGCTTCTTCCTTCGAAGGCACGTGTCATATCGCCAAATAACCAATAGTCGGAAGGAGCAAGATCAGGAGAATACGGGGGGTGAGGGAGAACATTCCATCCATATCCCATCAGCTCCTGCTTCACTTGTTTCGAAACATGTGGGCGAGCGTTATCATGTTGATAGTACACTTTCTTGTCTTTCAGGGCCGAACGGTCGACTGCTTTCTTGAGGTTTCGTAGTTGAGTAGTGTAGAGGTCTCCAGTTATTGTTTTGCCCTCGGGCAGAAGTTCCCAGTAGATGGGGCCGTCCACTCCCCACCACACAGAGAGCATAACTTTTTTCGGATGAAGGTCGGGTTTGGGGACATCCTGTGGGCTCTCTCCTTCTCCAACCCACTGGGATTTCCTGTGGTGATTATCGTAGAAGACCCACTTCTCATCTCCGGTTATTAGCCGGTCCAGCCATCGATCGCCCGCGTGGAGAGTGAGAAGAGTAATCGAATCGTCGACTCGGCGGTCAAGGTTGGCTTGAGTCAGGTGATGACGTATGAATCGACCAAAAAGTTTTCTCATTCCAAGAGACTTCAAACCTTCAAGGACTGTGCTATGGTGAACTCCGAATGTGACAGCTAGTTCACGGCTAGATTGAAATGGATCCGATTGCAATGCGTGCTTCAGCTTGTCCAAATCCAACTCACGGGGTCTCCCAGAGCGATCCTTTTCATCGAGCGAGAAGTCATCTTTTTCGAAACGATGGAACCAATTGCGAATAGTATTGTAGTGAGGGGCATGTGTGTTGTACACATTCTTCAAGAAAGTTTCCGAATCCTTCATCGTGGTGTGAGATAGGAAGAGGTAAATCAAAACATGTCTGATGTGAATAGCAGTGGGAACAAACATATCGTTTCAATTACAGATGAGGAGCAGGGAAGGAAATGGGGACTTGTTTATATGGAAGGTTCTTATCACCTTGTTATTCACTAGAGTCGATATCATACACAGCCTCCATATACGAGAACAGTGATTAAACAAACAGAGTGACAAAGACTTTCCCGCCAACCTAATACAACTGTTTCATTAGAAATAATTGAATTTTAGAGAAGAGATAGATTGAGAGAGGCAGAGGGGGGGGGGGGGGTTGTGGACAAGTTGGCGATCAGTATCTTGAAAAGAGGAAATGTTCACGGAGAAACCAAAAAATTGGAAATTCTGAATAATGCGCTAAAGTCGCCGTAGCACATTCAGGTCGGAAGTTGGACAGGTTCTGTAGAAGACCGCTACTGAAGCCCCCGACAAACTTACCGTAAAACCTGTATTAGAAGAGCTTGAAAGAATAGAAGGAACTTCTTCGAAATGTGTTGCGTGAAATTGAAAGTTTGCGTACATTGAAACACTGTATTTTGGTCAAAAACTTGCGCAATTTCAGTAAATGTTCATAAATTTTGAACAAATTTTCAAAAATTTTGAACAAATTTTCGATGTTCATAAATTTTGAACAAATTTTCACAAATTTTTAAATTGAAATTTTCGGAAAAAATGACTAAAAAAATAGAAGGTTCCCCTCTAATTGAAGGCCCCTTTATTAGAAGGGCCCTCCGGAGGTACCTTGAAACAATAAAAGAGCCGAATCTTCTAATATAGGTTTTACGGTATTTGGTATACTGTACCTGTCAATAAGACAAAAAAACACTCTAATAGAACGCCACCCGAATCGTTAAATTTGAGCCTATGTATCTCATTTTTGGTAAGAGATATCAAAAAGTGGCTAACTAATAAAATGCTGCTACTATTATGATAAACATTTTATCGGTTGACAACTTTTTGATATCTTTCACAGGAACTGAGATACATAGGCTCAAAGTGGACAGTCTGGGTGACGTTCAATTAGAGTGTTTACGGTTGAAAAATTTGCATTCACTGAATTTTTTGGAGATTCCTAGTTTTCCAGCTATTTGCCAATTTCTGAAAGATACCTGCTTTTTCATGTTTCCAGTACAAAAACGGGTCAAAGAAGGGGAATCTTTCAGACATCGGCCAATAGCTGAAAAATTAAGATTTTTGCGAAAATTCTGTTTCACACCCTCCAAAATTTTCAAACATGACAGTCCTACACCCCAAAGTTCCTGCACCATCTGAGTCAATATACCTTCGATAAACCCTTTTCCACCCCTCTGGCCCTGGGCCAGTTACCACCCTTGAAAACCCTGGGAAAATACAGATTTCTCCCGTCGTTGTCAATATGAACATTCCCACGAGCACATTCATATTCAGATCCGCAGATTATGATGTGGAAAGTCTCAAAACGTCTTTACCTTGTCATCAGACGTGAAGAGACACCTCCTTTCAGGTGGGACCTCTGACCGCCCAGGTGGACATCCCAAATACGGTCAGTCGTATTCATTCACTCTCATTATCTCTTGATTTGTGTTATTCGCTCAGTTTACTCTACAAGTTCTTGTATTTTCTTCGTCCCGAAAATGGATTATTCATCCTGGATTCCACAGATCCCACTGCCTGCCGAAGGAATGAAATCTACTATAGAACTCACGCCCCAGATGGCAAAAATGCTAATTGATGCCCAAGGTAAGTGACTTTTTGCGATTTTCGGTACCTGAAGAAATAACCATCTTTAATATCATTAAGTCTGACAAGTTACTAATCAGAAACCGAATTTCAGACCATTTCCATAAGAAGAAAGCTCTCCGACTGGATCCGTTTATTTTGACTAGGGCCCAACGCTTCGAGAATGGTTTTCCGGTCAGAAAAGGATGTCAAGTGTATGTGCAACCCAATGAGTTTCAAATGGGTCAGGAGCTGTTCTACACTGAATTTGGTATGTTTTTTAGTCAATTCAGGATTTAGAAAATGTGTAGTGTAGCTTTTACTTGAATAGAAAATATCTCTGTTTCTCAAAATTAATCTAACTGCCAAGAACATCGATTTTTCGATGGATCTGTATCTGCATAAATATTTGAAAAACAGGCCCTGCCATAGTTTCTTTCAGGATCATACTTTTTGGACCAACTGAATTAGATGTGCTAGGACTAGACAAGTACTACAAAATTATATTATTTGGACAAACTGTAGCTTGTCTATGAACGAATGTACAACCCATAAAGTGGCCGGGCCGAGCCCTCCCTGTTTTTTTAACTTGTTGTTAATAGACCTATAACTTTGCTCATAGACAAGCTACAGGTTTCCAAATTGTATCATTTTGTAGAACTCGCCGAATTCTTTTGTATTTGATTTAGTTGGTTCAAAAATATGGATCCTAAAACTATGGTAGGCTCCGTTTTACGGTATGCATTTTAGACCTTTTAGTGACTTAAATAAAAATATACCTGTTTCTCAAAGTCAATCTGACTGGCAATACGTTGAGCCTATGATCCGTTCCATTAAGCATCTAGTCTGTATTATTTTCAGATTTGACGTTCCCAAACGTTGCGTCTTCACAGCTTCTGCTCACAAAATTCTGTTGCAAAAGTTTCTAGACAAAAACCCCAAACATGTTTTCCATGATTTTTTCGTGCTAGAATAATATCACTTTTTTTTTGAAAGCCAATATAATTGCCAAGAAGTTAGGATTTTGATCTGTTCCAGTATAAGATTGCGTCTTCAGAGATTTACAAAATTCTATTCACACAATTCTACTCACGCGAATCACACAATTTACAGATAACACCAGAATCTGCACCCGATGCCAACAAACCTTCTACGTGGAAAGCGACGGGTATCAGCCAACAGCAGACCACCCAATTTGTATTGATTCCGAGGGAGGTTACAACTTCCACATCCACACCCAGCTCCCAGTGGAACATTTGAAGACGTTCAAGAAGGCGGATAAAGTTGACGAGTACAATCGAAGAATGACTGGAAGAGTGTACGCATTGGATGTGGAGTCTGTGTACACTTCGCATGGACAAGAAGTAGGACGAGTTACTGTAGTCGACGATAGAGGAGAAGTGGCCCTGGACCTTTTAGTGAAGCCAAAGGAACACATTTACGATTACGTCACAAAGTATTCTGGCCTCACTCCAGACTTTCTGAACTACGCCACTGAGACTTTGGAATCGGCAAGACAGAAGATTCTCAACTTGATCAATCGGGAATCAATTCTTATTGGACATGCCTTGAATGGAGATTTGCTGAAACTTGGAATTCTTCACAGTAAAGTGATCGACACATCCATCCTCTTCGCCACTTCAGGAAGACGTCCATCGCTTCGATCACTGACGTCCATCTATTTGAACAGAGACATCCAGCAATCATATTATGGTCATTGCTCCAAAGAAGACGCTGTCGCCTGTGTTGATTTGGTCAATTATGCTCTTCGAAATCCAACAACGATCTCCAAAGTCTTTCAAAAACCTAATAATTCTTTGTAATACTTCTTGTTTTTTGTTTATTAATGAATTTCTTTTTTTTTAAGATACGGTTTCCAACTGAAAAATTAAAAAAAAAAAACCATTTAAAACTGTCACAATTGCTACCGTAATCCTATCGGTCCCTCTCTCCATTTTTGCCGAAATTCAGTAAACTTTGTTCTTCCTCTTTCCTTCTCATTTTCTCTAAACCACTTTTCCATTCTCTTTTCCGTTCACTCTTCTCCCACTTTCAGCCTCAATAACCTCCCTCCCTCCCAGCTGAAAACGCTCCCACCACCCTCAGTAGTCGTAACCGATTGATCTCTGAGCCAACGAGACGCCGAAGTAGCATTAACTAGTGAGAGACGCAAAGAACCCTCTCGAAAAAATGTCACAAGACTTCTTTTTCAAAGTGTTCCGAAACGAGACATTGAGAGCATGAGACTGGGGAGAGAAGATGAGAGACGCAGACACCAAACTTGTTTTTGTCTGGCGCCAGACTCCCTTTCGCTCCCTCGTTCCTCCAAAGGGCGGAGTCTTGGCGGCGTGCCAAGATATTTCATTTTGTATAGTAAAGGAGGTTGGAGGGGTGAGGAATTCAATGGAATGCTTTGGTTTGAGTTTTTTTGAACATTGCATGACAAAAAAACTAGAAAATCAAGTTTTTCGAAGTTCAGAGTCGAATTGAGGGGTCATAGATTTCAGTCAAAGGGTTCGCATTGTACGGAAGAAAATTTTTATGATAAATGAATCGGGGCTCCGCTTACTTCCGGTGTATTACCGTGAAATGAAAATTTTGATCTGAAATTAGATTGAGTTTTAGAAAAGTTAAGTTTTGTGGAGTTTCGAATTTCCTTTTTGAAAACAAAGCAAACTATGTAAACGAATTTTGCAAGTTTTGACTGAATTCGAAAAAGAATTCGGTTTCATTAACATTTCAAATACACTAAAAAACTTGTATTTTCAATAAAATTTTTTGGAGAAAACCTGAATCAGTAATTTTTTTCTCGGACAACTTTTGAAATGTTATGTTTAAACTTAACGAAAAAAGTTTGAATTGACTAGGTCATCCAGCTGAAATACCAAGATCTTTTAGCTTTTAATAGAAAAAAAACATCGGTTTGAAAATTCGAGAATAATTAGTTCTCAAAAACAATGACTACTACAGGGTGGCTTTTGATTACCCGCGCATCTTTGAATGAATTTTTCTCAAAAATTAGTAGCCAAAAACTGATGAAACTCAACAATATTTTTATTTGGACGTACAAAAATTATATCCAGGAAGAATTTTTCAATGCGGTCATCGTTCGCCTCCGTTACTGTCTGAAGACGTCTTTGGTAGGCATCGATGGTGGCACGGTCGAAAGTTTGTCTCATTTCTTGAGCAGTGTTTTCCAGCTTCTTGAAATTTGAATGGGACCTTGAGCAGATCTTTTTTGCATAACTCCGGATGGAATAGTCAACCGGGGTCAAATCCGGCCAGTAGGACGGTCATTCTGTCCCTCAGGCAAGTGCGCTTCAAACCACTGCTGGATGCGTTTGGCGGTGTAGGCTGAAGCTCCGTCATGTTGGTGAATCAAATGTTCCCGTCCAAAATGGGATTTGGTCCATAGGAGCAGATGGTTCTTGAAAATTCCCTCGATATACACTTTCTTGATCATACAGACGTCTTGATCTGTGAAATTTGGAATTTGAGCATCACACCGAAAACCATCGTACCGGCCGGGTGTGAAACTCAAGGAATGGTTTTTTCTTTCTTAAAATGCTCCTTGATATACTTGGCTAACCCACAATAACTTTGGGAGTTGGATTCGGCTTCAATCGCGAACCAGTGCTCGTCAAAGAAAACGGGCCCCAAATGGTCTCCTCACCGCGTTCCATACAGACGAAATTTAGCCTTCTCCAGACGCTATCGCTTATTGCTCTCCGACAAGATAACGGCGTATAAGACGCAATAGCATTTTAAATCAAGCTTTTTTCGGGCTATCTTTTAGATTAAAAACCAAGACATATGCGATTAAAAACCAAGACATATGCAGGCTCAAAAAACCACATGTCGACATTACCAATGCGTTTTAAGATTTCGTTTCGACTGACGACCTACTTAAAAAGACTGATGATAGTGGCATGACTGATGATAGTGGTGAACGTTAGGGCTCGCCATTTACCTGGAACTCAACCAATAAGGCTGAAACTTGGCAATCATATTAATTATGAATCAATGCATCAATGAAAACAATTTTACTGCACTAAATGAACGCCAGCACCAAGAACCATGGCTCCGAAGTTGTGCGCGGGTAATTTAAAGCCACCCTGTAGGAGGTTCCAGAAGTTTCCTTCATTCGAAATTTTTTCCGAGAATTTAATGCTATTTTGCGAGATTTTTTTGTTAAAAAGAAAACGAAACCATCGAAAAACTATTTTCAAATGATCTAATAACCATTTTGAAACAGAAAAAGTATGACAAAAAAAATATTTCGGTACAAACTCTCGATTTTTTTTTCGTTTTTCTTCGATTTTCGTGCATTATCAGTAATGGGGTTATGCACGTAATAAATTTGCAATAAAAATGGCGAATAAATACACAAAAATACTATGCAGATACGCAAATAAATTAATTTATTTGCATTCAAAAAACGAATTAAACTGCATTATCAGCCGTGAAAAAATTTTCTCTCGATGATTTTTCAAGAGATTTTTCTCGAGAAAAAATTTTGAGAGGAAATTTCCACGGCTGCACTTGGGTTCAAGCCAATGGGTCAGAAATCGCGCCCCAATAAACGTGAGATTTTAGAAAAAAATTCACTGCTGAATTATGTGGCTGAGGATCAAATTTTTGAACGTTGCACGAAAAAATCACGCGTTGCAACTCGTTGATTAAAGCTAATTAGGTCAAATCCACGTCAACTTGGAAATTCATAAATTTCTTCTGGCCTAAAAGTTATTTGGGGCGCGTTTTTTTACCCGTTGGCTTGAACCCAAGTGCGGCTGATAATGCAATTAAATTCGTTTTTTGAATGCAAATAAATCGAGAGTTTGTACCGAAATATTTTTTGTCATACTTTTTCTGTTTCAAAATGGTTATTAGATCATTTGAAAATAGTTTTTCGATGGTTCCGTTTTCTTTTTAACACAGCCAAAAGTGTCTGATTTCGGACTAGTATTGTGTTTCTGAAATCTCTATTAAAGGTGGAGGGACATGAGAAAAATAATGTTGTCGAAATTTCGTTTAAACATGCTCCTCGAGGAGTTGAACTTGTCGAAGCGAGTGTTGAAGGTGCGGCGCCGCTACCGACTGAGCTACGCGTGCAAAGAGAGAGCCGCTGCCCGATTGCATACATAAAGGCGAGGACGACAGCTGTACGCAGAATGACATTAGGCGTTGTACACCGTCACGGTAGAATGCATACTCTGGCCCCAAAAATCCCCCGTAAAATCTCCTGTCCCCCCACCTTTAAATGCTTTTCCATTCCAAGATATATGAGTTTGTAATTATCTATATAACTATTAGCAGTGAAATCGATTCTCCAAGATTTTTCTACTGTGCAAGATGTTTTTTGGAAGATTTGTCTTTTTGTTTTTTTTTTGTAGTTAAATTGTCTTTTTGTAATTAAATTTGCCTTTTTGTAATTAAAAGTCATTGTTTTGGAATGATCTAATGATTATTTTGAAACAGAACAATTTTGAAAAAAATTACAAAATTATCACAGAGAAAATATCGATATTCTAAAATGAAGTTTTCTGATATTACCCAGAATAAAAAAATATCAGATACCGTGTTTCCTCTCATAGAAGCGCACCCAAACTTTGAGCTCAATTATCTCGATTCTCGCGAAAGGTATCAACAAGTTGTCAACTAATAAAATGTGTATCATACTATTACCAACATTTTATTGGTTGGCAATTTCTTGGTATCTTTCACAGAAAGCGAGATAAAAGAGCTCAAAGTTGACGGTCTAGGATGGGCTTCTAGTACCGTGTTTGTAAAAAAAACCCATCAAAATCCATTTGACTTTAGTTTATAATGTATCAACGAAACTGAAATGTTTTGTTTCTAATGTATTTCAAATTTCAAATTTTTCGGTTAAAATTTTTGGCTCAAATTTTTTATGCTCCATTTGTTTGTATCTGAAATACCTTCTATCTTGCAACATAAAAAAAATCAATTTCAATTTTTTTTGGAATTTATTTATTTTTCATGCATTCATCATGCTCATCAATTTTTACACATTCGCATATAGAGAGAGAATCGGGACTTAGGGGACGGGTGTTTGAAAGTGAGAGACTTAGAAATGGCATTTTTTGTGAATTCTAAACAACAAAACTCAGCAAAAAATTAGGAAAAGTGTACACAGAGAAGAGAGACAATATAAATTTGGAAGAAGCGGAGAGAAAAGAGGTAGAGAAAAAAGAACGGAAGGGAACTAAAAAGAAGAGGAAGAAATGAAACTAACAGGAGTGTGATATGATCTGAAAATCTTTCTCTCTTCCAGATGGAAAAAAGGGACTGTTTTGGGTGTTATAGGAAGAGAAATTCAACATTCCATCCAACCGATATATTGCCACACCGTTTAAAACTGAGATTTTTGTTTTTTAAAGGAGAGGAGTACTTAAATTCTTTGGAATCCAAATTTTGGATTTGTTCAGAGAAACAAAAAGAGTAGTGTAAAAACGAAGAGTATTTAATTTAATGAATTCAAAATGACGTGGCAATATACACAAACAGAGAAGAATTTGGGTTTTGAGAGAGAAAAGAAAAAATATTGGAAAATTTATAGAAAATGATAGAGGGGGCGGGGCTTGGGGAGGACAGGGAAAGGAGAAATCACATCGCTCAGTAAAGTTTCGAGGTAGATTACGGTATGGGAAGAATAGGGAAGAGTGCCAGTGAGCGTCGTCGAATCGAAACTGGAAAGGATGACAGGAGAGGAAAAATAAAGAGAAAAGCTAGACATTTTTCTACCAGAATTAGACAAAAAAGGGAACGAACGAAACGAAAAAAAAACAAGGAAAAACCATCAAAAAATTACAGAGAGAAATATCTTCTCAAGATTTTTAAAAAGGCAGGATGCCGGGAATGTGTGGGAAATTTTGATGAAGGAGAGATGCCTTTTTAAAAGGAGCATCGAGAAATTTACAGGGGGCGGGGCGAATAGATAAAGAGGTAGGATTCAAAGGGGGAAAAACAAAACCTGGATGAAAGGAAGAAGAGAGAAAAAAGAAGAAAAAGAGGTAATCAACGGTTTTTCGATATTTCATAATTGGGACGAAAAAAGAGGAAGAGGAAATAGAGACTGAGAAGAGGTGGTATTCGAAATTATTATTACACGGCGTCACTGGGATCAAAATGAAATTTAACGGATAGTGGGGTGCTTGAAAGGGAAAAACAAAAAGAATAACTGAGTAGCAGTTGAGAAGCTGAGGAACTGGGCGGTGATGATCATTGAGTGTTAAACGATTTGACTGATTGATTGGTTGACTTGGAGTGGGCTGGGTGGGGTGCACAGATGAAATTTCGGAAAGATTTCTGAAAAATTGGAAAAAGTTAATAACAGCTACAGTAATCCAAAATTCTCACCTCATTCGTTGCTTTGCTCTCTTTCGAAACACCAAGATAAAACGTAGGATAAGCATATTTAATGAATTGATCCATGAATTTACAAATCGAAATGAATACTTTGCCCTCCGGCCTGTGATAGCTCGTGCCGAATCAACGCATCCACATCCATATCCATCAATGGCTGATCTGGAAGTGTCAGATTCTCCAAATCGATTGGAAGAGCCGATGACGAGGCGAGCGTATTCTGAGCGGCCACAATTCCGCATGATTGGATTCCGGGAAGTGGCGATGGAACGGAGGTGGTGAGCCATGGATTCGCGCCATTCTGATAACCTCCGAATGCTCCTGGGAGTGGCATTCTGAAAGACTTTCAACGATAAACAATTGAAAAGATGAAAAGATGAAAAAGCATTTTAAAAATACCTAATTCCCAATTCTTCGAGACTAGCAATTGTATAAAAAGGAACTAACGGTTTGAAGTTGGTGCTTGGCACGATTGGATTACGCAGCAACGGATTCTGGACGCATGGTCCACGGACACTGTTCAACTCGTGGTATGATGGTGGAGCAATTGGTTCAGTCTGAAAAATAGAAGGCGATAGAAGAGGTTCTCATGCACCGATTGCTTACCTTAATTGGTTTTGGCTCTTGCTTGATCTGAAGTCCAGCCAATGGACCGTTATCAATGCGCATCTGATCGGTCCGATCGACCAAGTCATTTGGAATATTCGGAACAGCTGGAGTATCTCCAACCCATGATGGGAACTCGAGATCGTCATAAAGCTCACAGTTGGTTGGAGAGACCCGGGACGTGTTTCCAGGAACAGACATGGTCGATTGGGTACGTGACCGGAATGCAGTCATTGAGTCGAATGGTGATTGCATCGAATCGTCATCGTACATATCGTGTTGAATGGATGTGATCGATCCAGCTGTTGAATTTCCATTGAGTCCAGAGTGAACAGATCCCATAAGAGCCCGCTTTTCTATCCGCTTTTTGGCTCCACGACGTGATTTGTCGAGTGCAGCCTTTGTGGTTGCCTCAATGGTGTTGGATCTCTCACGAGTGCGACGTGGATTCCGTCCTGGTTTGGCTTCTGGATTGATGACCCACCACGAACTCTTTCCGGCTCCCTCATTCTGAATGCGCATGAACCGAGAGTGAAGTGATAGATTGTGTCGGATCGAGTTCTGAAATGATTTAGATAATGTTTTGTTTTGTCTGGAAATAGTTACACTGGAATCGCTCTTCTGAATCTATTATCCCTCTCCCAATTTTCCCATTTTTCTGACCAAATGACCGATTCTCTTTCTTTTTTTTCTGACTCTCATTTCTCTTACTGCTCCTTCGGAGCAACATGAAAACATTTTTGAAGGAGGCAGGACAGAAAAAAAAATAGTTCAGCATCTACCATAGACATAGACGACGAAAGAAGGAAACAACTAATAGGGTTGGGGTGTGGTTCTTTTTGTGTTGGCCTCTGGATGTTGCAGAAAAGAAGCGAGAAGAGGGTCCCCTTCTTCTTCTCCTTCGTGGAGCATGATGGGCTCTCTCTGTGTGGAGGGACGTGCCAGCCACCACATTCTCTTTTTCATGAGAAAGAGGAAGGAAAAAGAAGGGGAGGAGAGGGTGGTTGGCAAAGAAGCATCCTCTGGTCATTATGGTCCCAAATACGAAATAGTATGGGAGAAGGAAAAAAGCGTTTAAATTAGGCTGGTGTCGCACCACTCTTCATTAGGAATTCATGAAAAATTGGGCGAATTCCGCAAAATTCGAAAATTTCGACTTAAAATACAAAATTCGTCATGAAGATCATAATACCAAAATTTCGCGAATTTCAAAGTTCCCATTTTTCTAAAGGATGTTCCCTCTTGATAATATGCCTTTTCTACGGAGACCCGACATAAAAAGGACAAGAAAAAGTGTCAAGGACATGCATATATCTCTTACCTTCCATCCGGCGGCCTCTTCTTGGCTGGATCGTTCCCGAAAGTAGAGAATATTATCGGAAAACCACTGATAAATCTCGTTGAGTTTCAACCGACCATCTGGCGCCGATTCCAGGGCTTTGGCGATGATGTCCGAGTAGGACTCCTCACCCCATGGATTCGGTTTCTTTTGAGCCAGCTGATCAGTTGGCTTCTTACGGCACCGCTTCTTCTTGGCTGGCATCGGACCACCGCCTTGTGACAGGTTAAGTGACATTCCGAGTGTCATGCCTGAAGAGCACGGAACCGAAGCAGCGAGCATTTGACCGACGGTTTGTGGCTGAGACGACGCCGTTGCGGCGGCGATGACATTAGACGAGGAGCAACCCGGCTGAGCAGTAGCAGCAGCGCCCGGCGAGCCTTGTGCTCCGCCCCCAATGGAACTGGCCACTGAGCTGCCGGAAGACGTTAACGTCGTCATGTTTAGATTCAGAAGTGGTTGAGGTAGGGTGTGATGCATATGGGGGAGCTGATGCGGATGCATCGGATGATACGGATTGTGTGGATGATGTTGAGGTAAAGTCGATGGATCCTGGAAGACGAATTGCTGCATCGGCCATGTGTAACATCTTCCACGCGGCTCCGGCGGGAAATCATCGTCTAGCGAGTCGTTCATTCTGGGAAGCCGGCTAGCCTCGCAGGTTGGACGATGGAGGATTATCAGACGACTTCTGGAGGAGAAAGTTTTGAAATAGAGATCAAGACGGCGAGAACGAGCAGGAACGATAAATTCAAGTGATACAGAGATTATGAGCAATAATACTGTAATTCTAGATTTCTAAAAAAGGGTCATTCACTTTTACTATTTCTGTCCTTGATGCGGGAAATTGAGGCCTTTGCCCAGTCGTCTAATGGAGAAGAAAGAACAGAAAAGAGGCATTCAGGAGAGAACACATACAGTCAAAAGGCCCCTTCTTCTTCTTCTTTTTTCAACGGCAACTTTTGATGACGAGGCAAGAGTAAAGAGAAGATAAAGTAGGTGAAGAAGAGCGAGGTGCTGTTATTATCAAATTTGATAAGAGTGGCAAAAAATTGAAGATTACAATTTTAAGGTTGTTTTGAAACACATCGAACCTAATAAGATTGTCTCTTATTTTTCAAGAGCGGCCAACTACGTAATACAACATTCTTATACTGTTTGGAGTGATGACGACAATGGGAAAGGGGCGGAGCCAAAAAATGCACTAAAAATACAGTACTTCTGTGTATTTAACTATGCTAACTATTCCGCAAAAGGAACACTTTTTTCATGCGCAGCAGGGCCTCTCTTCATTTTTTTAGTCTCGTTCGCTTAGTGCTAACACTTTCGCCTGTGGGTGAGGGCGCCTGGGCAAAGAGACGGTGGAAGGAACGGCCAGTTAAACGAAAAAAAAGTGAACGGGGGGGGGGGGGGTGGAAACGGCGGAACACCTAGGGGAGAGGAGGAAAAAAAAATATATGATACCTCCGCGGTTTTTTTGGTTAGAGTATGGTTTAGTGGGTTTTTTTTCTGGCGAAAAGCACGGAGGTAGCATAGTTTAGCTAAAACTTGTGTGGGATGGGGGAATTCAAAAAAAATCAGTGAGGGGTCAGTTTAAAAGGAATTTAATGAAACTAAAAGAAAATCAGAAATCTTAAGAAATTGTTTTTAAAAACTTCGGATTCCTAAATTTTTTCAAACAACTCCAAAAGATTTTTCGAATATTCTGAATTTCAGATTTCTTCTAGAAATACGGAACTGCTCATTTTTAACTGTAATTTCAGAATTTGTCTTTTTAACCCCAAAATTATTCTAACAAAAAGGACCGTTACAAAAACCGAACACATCATTCAACCGCCACCGAAAAAAAGTCATCCATAAAAACGGGACATAAAGATGGAACGATGACCAAAAAAGGGCGAACGGGACAGATGGCTGGATGGATGGAGGGTGACCGGGTGATGACCGGCCACCAGAAACAGATGAAGAGGGGAGACCCTGGGGGTGCGGGCGAAAAAAAGAGACATCTCGTGTGTCGGTGTGAGGGTAGAGAGACAGGAAGATGGTAGCCGGGTGGCGGTGGCCGTTCGGAGGAGAGTAGACGGTAGAGAGAGAGAGAGACAACGCAAAAGCTGGAGACTAGGCGAGAGAAGTTGCCTGGGGGTGAGAGAGGAGGGAAGAACACCACGTTCGCTTTTTGTTATAAAAAGGGGATTGTTGGGGAAGAGAAAAGAGAGAAGGGCGAGAGTTAGACAAGCAGAAACTGGTTAGATACCGAGTAGAATCCTGGAGGGTGACAAAGAAACAAATGCCTGGAAGGGGGCCTAGAGAAATAGAAAATGAAGAGAGGGTGCCCATCTATTCATCAGTGGAGAGAGACCTTGAGAATACTATACAGATAGTATGCCATCGGGCAGAAGCGCAGAATTCGGAACAATCCACTCTCGTTTCTCCGCCGATCAGCTGGTAGGTAAAGGGGAAGAAGGAGAAGGTGATAGAGAAGTACAGGTAGAGTTATTAGAGACGCAGATTACAAAAGGGAGAAGGAGATAGAGGAAGATGGGTGGCTGCTGGAACACCTACGATCTATGTGACAGATATCTTCCTTCTTCTTTTTTTCCATAGAGAGGTACTATTACTACTTCTTCTTCTGACACAAAAAAAAGTAGAAGAAGGAAAGGAACGACCATTTTCGATTTCATTTTTCTTCCATCTTCCCACTCAAAATCGGTTGCTGTGTCTAACAAAGAAGCTTCTTCTCTCTCGTGTCTTTTTCAATTCTACAGGAGGCTACCAAAAAAAGAAGACGAACAGTCAGGGGAAAAAAGAAAGTACTCCTAGACCCTTCATAGGGGAAAAAAAGAGCACAAAAGAACGCTCTCTCAGCTGGTGAAGAGAGAGCAGCTGATCTCGAAACGGAACGCCTGACCCGCTGAGGCGGCTAATTGCACACGCTGTGGTGAGCACCCAAGAAGGAGGGGATAAAAAAGCCATCAGAGAAGGACCATTATGTGTCTAAGGGATATAATGTAAAGAGAGAACCAAGGTGTCTCTAGGTAGAAGAAGAACAAGGGCAAAAAAGGACAAAAGAGGTCGCGCGGGTGGCCGGACCAAAGAATTGCACTTCGATGTGTACCGATGACGTGGCAACTGCCGTTGTTGTTTACAGTACATTTAGAGTACAATCGAACTTGGAGAGAGCCTTTTATAACCGGGAATTGAATTTTTGAAGAAATTCTGAGAGCTACAGTAACCCAAAATGTGTCAAGTCTCCTCATTCATTTTCTGAGAGAGATAGAGTAGCAACCAGCCGGCTGTCTCTTCCCGTCCCCTTCCCGCATCACACCGCCCGTGTGTCAATTACTCCTCATTCCATTCGGTCACGAATGGAAGATGTTACGAAAAGAGAGCTAGAAATCAAAATATCAGAATTTTGATGATGAAATTGAAAAATTCTGATCTACTTACGAAGCCCTCACGGCTTATGAGGTAACAAAAATGAAAAGAGAGTGTGTTAATCTCATGCGTCGGGGTGATATAGATATAAAATCCCTCATTTTCTGGGGCTCCATTGAATTTATCAGTTGTCACACACGATTTTTCACGATCCAATGCATTTTGTGGTGGCGTTGGTGATAGTATGACTAACCCCCAACCTCATAAGGAGGAGGTGGAAGTACAAATCATGTTTCTGACTCTTTTTCTTCTTGGGTTGGTGTGAATTCACACGGACCAATGGAGCTACCGTAATCCTCCTCCAGCAAACTACACTCTCTCTCTTTTCTTCTGATTTCTAACGAAGCTTGATGACGTGGCGATTCTTATGTGCTCAGTAAGGAAATGAAATTACAATATAAAGAAAAATGGGGGATTTAATTAAAACCCAAAAAAGCCAATAAAGTGGCCATATAAGGCGAGCTGATTGTGTGTATGTGTGTGTTGCATTGTGACGCCTATATTAAAAAGTAGAGGCAATAATGGAAATTCGTTGGGAATCAAACAAAAATCCGAAAATAGAAAAAAACTTTGTGAGAAGGGGCGGAAGAACGAAGCTAATCGGTTTCTCATCTATTCATTGATGATGCTCATTTTCTGAGAATATGATGAAGGAAGGAGTAGAACAGTACTCTAAAAGTTCAAAAGACCTCATTTTTCTTCCGGAAAAAAAACGAAAACAACATGGAACTCTTTCTTCCGGGATAAGTAGGAGAAGAAGGTGTGGGTCATATGCCCTGGTGAATTCGGAAAAAAGGGGAAATGAATGATCTTTGAGATTCTGGTTAATAGAATCAGAATACCCAAAAGTGTTTTGATGATCAGAATGGGAGGTTGAATACAAAAAGAGAGCCATGTGACCTGAAGGAATTTCAGCCCTAATTCTAAAGATCATAAGATGGAGAGGGAGGAGCTTAATAGGCACTTCTACAGTAACTTTTTCGGCTGGGTCTTTTCAAAAAGGCCTTTTTGCCACGTAGCCTACAGTAGTCCTCGAAAACCAAAATTATACAGTAACCCAAAAATGAAAAATTCTAGAACTATAACAAAACCGATTGACCGGGGGTAGCGAAATGAGACGAGAGAGATGGGCAACCAACTCGAATCAGCAGCAAATTTTTTCGTTTGGCGACACCGAGAGACCGAAAAAAACGTGAAAAGTGATGGGCAAAGTGGTGATCGGACGAAAAGAAACATTGGCAAAATTGCGGAGGTGAAAAAGATCGGAACAGAAAAAAAAAGAGAAGAAACACATGACCAATAGGCTTCCAATTGTAGAGGGCCTCTATGTGATGAAGAGTGAGGCGAGAAGAGCGAAAAAAAAAATGAAGCAAAATTTTTTTGGTGGGAGAAAAGTGAAAAATAAGAGAAAAAGGATAAGGTTACTCTCCACTGATTATAGTGATTAGCATCATTTTTTCTCTGTTTCCCCCTAGTTTCTGTTTATTGTATCCCTATAATTTTTTTTCGTGGCATTTCAAGCGAAAGGAGCCAGGTACCGGATCTCGATCTATGATCGTAGAAGAAGAAGAAAATGGATTACTGATAACTATACGAAAAAAAGAAGAAAGAAACTCGTGATAAACACCAAAACGGACGGGACATATAGTTAATTCTCAAGCGCCGCTCGCTGGCTCTTATTAGTTTGTTATTGAGAATATATGGAAGGGTGAGAAGAGGAGGAAGGAGCTCCTCACCTGCCTGTGGGAGGAGCAGGAGCATATTCTAATTTCCTCCTCATCAATACTTCCGGAGCCTCAGACTCTGCTTCTGAAAAAAAGCCACAGTAACCCATTTTCAAAATGAACTTCGAGGTCAAAATTACATGAAAAAAAAACAGAACGGAAGAACAAATTCTGTGACAAACTAGGAGAGAAATGAAGATAGAGAGGGGGTTAAGATGGGCGCCAGAAAGTGCATCCGAACTTTTTGTTTTTCGAAATTTCTTCTTTTCTTCTCTGGGATCCTCTCATAGAAAGAGAAAGATGAGGCCAGAAGAAAAACACGTGGATCTTCCTCTCCTACACTCTACCTTCCAGAATCTCAAAGAGATGAAGCAAACGCAGGCATTCTAGGAATAGATCAGCAGGTGTGTCCTATTCCAATTTTCAAAATTAGAATATCGGAGAAGAATGAGAAAAAAGGCGGCGGAGGTCTCTGTCTAGACTAGATGTGTCCTATATATATACATGTTCGTGTTTTAGTTGTTGTCACATTTTCTGTTTTGATCTAGTAAGAAAAATATTAGGAGCAAAGTCTGACTTTCAGTCTCAGGAATCATATATGGAGAAGGCCAGCTGATGAAATATTACAGAACTCTGCGTAATATTTTGCCTTGTTATTCACCTTCATTGCTCAGTGCTACTAGGTACAGTAATCCTTACGAATTCAAAATTTCTGTTCCTATTGAAATCCTTCAGAATGATCGCAATCAAAGCTATCCCAAAATTGAAATGTGACACCCCATACGTAAGCAGAATCATAAGTATAAACTAACGAGAATTCAACAACTACTACCCAAATCTGTGAATATACCAAAGATCTAAAAGTAAAAATCGTACCGAAAAGTGTGAGAAATAGAATCAAGTGTAGGAGAAGAAGAAGAAGAAGAAGAAGAATGGAACTAATTTAGTGGTAGTTGTGTTTGTGTATGTTGAAAAATGGATGATGATAGACTCAGAGGGGACTCTGGGCATAAAAAAAGAAGAAGAAGATGAAGATGCCAAGGGACGGACGCCTGGCGGTGCTGCTTGCTCTCGTCGCCGCGCCTCCACCGCACCCGAGTTCGTTCGTTTTCGAAACGGAACTCTCTCCATCTCGACTCGCCATGTCTCTACTTGTTTTCTAGTGCCATCCAGTGCCCCCAGTGCTCAATGCATGAGAGACTAGAGATATCTGACGGTGGTCCGCCGGCGACCGCATGTGTGGGAACGGCGCCTCGTGATTCTCTGCAGAGCACAAAAGGTGCTCTTTCTCTTCTTCGTCTTCTTCCGCGCGGAGCCTGGCGGCACCAGGACGCGTACTAAGTCACCCCCAGGGCTATTTATGGGGGTAGACGAGGAGAAAAGAGACTGGGGGTGACGGCGCCTTGGAAAAAAGGGGAACAAGGAATTCCAGGGGAAGGCAGCACGAGGGGGACTCTTTTCACAAAGGAAAAAAGAGCTCTCACACATTTTTTATTTATTAAAGAAGGCGTCGTGCGCTCGAATCCGTTCATCATCGTAGACTGGGTGGGGGAACAATCGTCCATTGTGTTGAATCCTTCGTGAGAAAAACGGAATTCTTTTGTAGTATTATATATATCGAAGAACTTCCGTATCTTCTTAAAAAATGGGAAAGAGGGGCCTTCAGATTTTCAGAGCGATTCCAACTACAAGGCAAAAGAAATAAACTAACCTTCCATCCAGCGGAACTGTTCGAATCTCCCTTATCTCTGAAGTATGGAACGTTCTGGACCATCCATTCGTATACTGAAAAAAATTCCCTTTCAATTTTTCTGCCAAAAAGCGTATCAGGCGGAGGGTATCAAATGGTTTCAGAACAATCAGTTGCCTGGTCAGCAAGAAAATAATGAGGGGTAGAGAGAGTGTGTAAGACGAAGAGGCGCAGAGAAAAGAGATAAACGGTGTCATCTCGTTCCCACTATTCTCTGCTCGCAACATTTAGGAACTAGGTGACAATAGAAACTACAGTACTCCCTAAAACCAACCTTGAGCCAATGTCAACCGTTTCTCTGGACTAGCGTTGATGGCAGTGGAGATTAATTCAGCATATGACATATTTCCCCAGGCGTTCCTTCTAGTGGTAGCCTTCTTTGAATTCGAACTTCCATCTTCTGGCGAATCTGGCATTCTGCAACTTTGAATGACATTAAAACCCATAGGAAAATTGGAATCTTTTATTTTGCCTACCGCACAAACGACAAGTGATATGATGCCGATGGAATAAAGATTCTCGACTCCATTAAGGAAGCGAAAAACAAGGATGTCGCCTAGTTTGACAGTCAAGTTGACAATGTTATCAAAGTGATAAGAGAGAGGAGCTTTTTCGATTCAAAAAAATTCTTCACTCTCTTCTTTCTGTGCTTAACAAGTTTATCAGTTGAATAACGCGAGTCAGTTTTTTGTTGCGAAAGCACAGAAGACCCGTTCGCTCGTCTATACGAATGAAACGAACTGGTACCGGAAAGAAAGAGAGTGAGAACTGATAATTTTTTTTGAAAACGGAAAAGGTTACTCTAGACGTTTACTATACAAAATAGTCACTTACTCTCCACCAAACAGGGCATCTCCATTCGAATTATTCAGCATTGCAATCGATCCGTTTGTAGATGTGCCACCGAGTCGTCCACATTGCTCATTGCTTCCAAACAGGCTGCAATAGAACGATTAGGGGGATTTTCTGGATGGATCATGTTATCCGGTGCTTTTTAGGTGGTCTTGTTTATTTATTTCATGATTTTTTGATTCCTAAACAAAGTCTTTTTGCCAGCTGTTCGCTTTTCATAGGGATTAGGCAAGCGAATGATAATCCTCAGTTCAATCAGTTAATCTTTTATTTTTATCACCCCGAGAGACTCTGCAAAGAAGAGATAAGAATATTCTGCTCATTACTACCGTAATCCTATTCTACACATACTCCGGATCTTCTTCTGGGATCTTCTCGATGGTTGGTTTCGAAATCAGCGAAGAATCGAATTGGGGCCTTTGCAACGGCCATGTGTTGCACCGATCGCGGGGTATCGGTTCCAGATCATCGTTCATTACCACGTCGTCCGGAGTCGGCATGAAGGCGTCCGCACCGAATCTCGAGACAGACGACGTCGATGTAGACGCCTCGGCGGCTCCATGATCTCCCAGCATCTCCATCATAACGTCTTCCGGAATCTCAGACAATGACGAGTTAGAGGAACCCGAAGACTCCGGAGTGAACGTCGCGGACAGTGGTTGGAGTTGATGGAGCTGTTGATGCTGTTGAAGAAGAGGATGGAATTGGAATGGCAGATGAGTCGGTGGTAGTTGTTGCGAATAAGCTTGTTCAGAAGAAATAGAAGACGTGAAAGAGGGGCTAAGAGGTGGGGATGAGAGTGAAGGCTGCAGCTTGAACAGTTTTACAGGAAAAAGAGAAAAATCTAGAGAGGGGATGTAGTTGAAGTGAGTATGAATGTGCTGGCTCGGATTCCTTTGATATCAGTGTCAGAGGATTCTGGAAAATGTAGTTAAGTGAAAGATAAGAAGAAGAAGAAGAAGAAGAAGAAGAAGAAGGAACGATTTCAAGAAGAAGGAAGGAGAAAAAAAGAATATCAAGAAGAAATTGTGGTCTTTGCAGACACCTTCAATGATCCGAGTGCTCTGAACTTTACGGATTAGGGGGAGGGATTTGGAGAAGAAGAAACTATTGCACATTGGGCTTAACTATTAACGTCATCGTGTCGGAAGAAGAAGATCCACCACATCATCTATCCGATCATTTTTGATAGAAAGAGGGAGAGAGAGAGAGAGAGAGAGAGAGAGAGAGAGAGAGAGAGAGAGAGAGAACTCAAAATTACTTGAAGAATAGGAGAGAAAGAAAATCATGAGCTTTTTTCACATTTCTCATGAAGAAGCAAGTGACGGGAACCGGCGGGCGCCCGAGGAAAAAAAAAAGAAAAAGAATATAAAGAAAAGAAGAAGAAGAATGCTCCCCGTCAGAAGGCTCTAGAACCTAGAGACATAAGAAAAAAGCCATTTGTCGTTTGGGGAGAAATTAGAGGGGCATTTTTGAAACACAAGAAGAGAACGAGTTGGGGGGAATGAGGTGAGGTGATGGTGGTGATATAATGATAAGATGATGATGGGAAAGAAGAAATCTGGTGAGAAGAGCAGCTTGGTTGTTGAGGTGGTAGAAAGAGTGGGGATCAAGCTGCACCAAAAAACGGTCACCACTAAACCTAAATCTCAAGAAACCGACAAAAAACCCAACACGACGAAAATCCAGATAGAGATCAAAACGAGAGAGAGAGAGGGCGCAGATGGAAGCAGAAAAATGGTGGCCGATTTGAGATACGGTTTCCATGTCGCGCCTTCTTTTTTTTCTTCAAAAGACAGTAGACAGACCTCCCTTTCGGGGTTTTTTCAATGCCTTTCTCTCCAATTTTTCACCATTAATGCCGTCGTCGTGGAGGTCTGACAAGAGACAGACAAAGAAGACATTAAGAAACGCAGGGCATGTAAAATTTATTCGTCGCAGCGGAGTCTTCGACTGGGAACGATTTAATTGACCTTTTTTCAAGGTGATTTTTGAGAAAGGCGCCAGAATGCCATAATGGAATTTTGAAGTTTGAGAAAGTCTAAGGAATAAGTAAGAACCAAAATTCGTATAGAAAATGTTTCCAGTCTAGCTCACACGATATCAGTGCCCTTTTTCCAAGTCACTGGTTCTTCTAAAATTTTTTGAAACTAAAAAATCGAATCAGATTATCCTTTTCATCACTCATCATATTCTCCGCTATAGTATTAGCCGGAAGCTGATGAAAAGAAGGAGGAGACGTCGGCTCTCTCGGAAAGTGATTAGTCACCGCCTTCCGACGTCTTCTTCTGAATATGTTGAATACAGCAGGTGTACTCTCTATAGAGAAGAAGAAGAAGAAGAAGCGGAAGAAGAAAAAGGATTAGAAGGGGAGGAGCAAAAAGAGCCTATTTGGATGTATGAAATGATATTGGATTTTCTTCTTCTTCATAGATTTCGTATTCGTAGTGTAAAAGTACTAATATTCTTCTGAATACAGAAGACAGAAGAATCTAGGACGATGATCGTTGGAAGAAGAAAAATATTCAACAAGTTGTTCGGATTTGAAGCCAATCAGAAATCTTCTTCCAAAGAGATTATCAACTCTTCTAAAAGTCAGCGAAAAGGTCAGAAGAGCGCTTCCAGAGAATAATAATATTAGATAATTGGGATGGCTTCAGAAGAGGATTAAGGAAAGGTCTATGGATTCAGAGATTATAATGAGCAACCAGGCTACAGTATTCAAACTGGAAAGAATTACGGTACCTATATATCTTCTACACTGTTGCCAACAGGACAAACCTACCGTATTTCTATTGAAGATTACGGTAGCTATATATCTTCTAGACTAATTTATCAAGGGTAGACAGTTTTTTTCTTGGAAAAAAAATAGAAAAAGAGAGATCTGATGGATGGTTTTTGAGATTCGGACAGTAGAAAAAGAAAGAAAAACGAAAAACGAAGAATGGGAGAAATAGTGATATGGAGAAAATAGATGGGAAAAGGAGGGATCATAGGACAATTAGTGTAACAATTCTTCAACTTGTTCCCTAGTCATCTTCACGTTCACGTGGCGGATCCCACGTCGTCGGGAGATGCTGAATCCTTTTAAGAGAACTCGAGTGGCTCAGTGAACGAAGCGAAAGTTCCGAGGAAATCGGCAATTTTTTTTATCGTCCAAAGCAGAAGATGATGAAAAAGTAAAGGAAAACCGAAGAAGAAGCACATGTGACTGGTCGAGAAGAGGAGGAGCGGCAAATGACCCGATAATATGGGGAAAGAAAAAAAGAGAAAAGAGGATGGCATTTTCGATGTAGACACAAGAAAAAATAGTTCCTTGCTCTTTTTGCCACGTCATCTTTTTGGGGGCACAAGTGGCTCACTAATTCTCTGAGCTATCAAGAAGAAGAATAAGTATAGACTTTCGCCAAAAGAGAGATGCACTTCTATCTTTTGCAAAACTATAATTAGGCCGGAGAGTGCATTTGAATAGGAAGAGAAGAGAGAGGAGATGCTTATTAGGATCTCAATTTTAGATATAAGTTCAAATCAAGTGCATCGGATTCTTTGGTCGGAACTTCTGCTTCAGAGATAGAAAGAAAGCTGATATGATCGAGATGAGAATTTCAGCATGGTTGGAATTGTTCTAATATGACAAGTACAAAGAAGTGATGCAAGAGGAACGAACGAAGAAAATCGAACATGCGGAAGCTGATGAGTAGTACTCCTGACGAATTCTGAGACTCAGAATCTGAGTCTTGTGGGTTTGATCAGAAGATCAATTCCTACAAGCGAACAGAGATATGAAATCATCAAATCCTTACTAAAGTCGAAACTCTTCACACCAACAACAAGAGTAGTCAGAAATACGACTTCTAGTAGCAATGTATTCTATGTATTCGACTGCTCGTGGCGGCGTTCCAGTTGTATTTCAAGTCAGATAGAGCCACCCGTGAGAAGAAGAAGCAGAAAAAATACTGAAGAATCGGAAGAGGAACTCGAAAAAAGGAACGACTATGAATGCACAGCACACACACATGACGAGATGGTAGTGGCAAAGGCAAAAACATAGTAGCATGCCACTGGCTGAAAAAGAAGAGGAACGACAACGGGGAACTTGTATGGCTCTCCCTCTGAAAGAGGAACGACGACGGTGGGGCTGAAAGAGCCGAAGCTGTAAACGAACACACCGAATGAAATAGTGATAGGATTCGAGAGATCGTTACAGACAGACAGGGTGTTCGGTTTTCTTCTTCTTTTTTTTTGCGACGACGTCGTCGCCAGACTGAAAGAGAAGAAGCGTGTCTCCTTTTCCTCCCCTGGAAACCCTTCTAGACATTCAATGTTTACTTACCAATGCTCCTCTCTCTCAGCTCCATCTTCTTCTTCTTCTCAAAATGGGCGGAGCTTCCGAGGAGGGTGGGGGAGGAGGGCAATCGACCAAAAAAAGCCACAAAAAAAAGAAGGGGAACGTTAGGAGGGGTGGTTGGTCGCGATATGCACAACAACAACGACAACAGAAACAACAAATCAAAAACACGGTCTTTTTCAGAATACAAAGAGGGGGACTATGTCTTCTTTGTTCGGTATTCCGAAACATTTTCGGATTGTCAGGATCCAGGATTTTTGTGATTCGAAAATATTTCTCAATACGATCCAATCATCAGAAAAGGGGAAAGTACTTTTTTGCGACGACGGCCTTCAGCAATCAGATGATAGCGAGACAAAAAAGGGAAAAGAGAAGGACAGGTAAAAGGGGAAGCTAGTTCTTCTTCTTCTGATCAGAAAAATAGGGTGTACTTACACTTTTGGTGTGAGAACAGAAAAGAATGGCCTGGGAAACCCAAAAAAAGTTTTACCGCGCGCTCCAAAAACTAAGAGAGAAACTGATAAAATTGATGTATATATGTGTGTGTGTGTGCTCTTTTTGTCCGAAAGCGCTCGGAATTGTGCAAAGTTGATAACTAACTATCAGTGATAAGAGAGTGAAAATTTGGAGAGAAGAAGATCAGCACGAAAAACCACGAGTTGAGAGTAGTAGTAACGATTTTGTGATTTTTAGAATGTTTCAGAAACCTTCAAAAGGAAAAAATGTTGATATATTTGATAGCCGATAACTTCTACAGCCGATATTATCGAAAAAGGTCAAAAACAGAAATTCGCTTGACAATGCACTTTTGACACGGATAATCAGTGACTGATTTGATATCGTTTATAGGTGATAGGGGCATTTGGAAATCAGAAAAAAATTGGAAATCAGAGAAACAGAATCAAGAAAGAAAAAAACTTCCATCGAAAAAAGTAGGAGGTGTTGGATAGAGAAAATGATCATTAAGGGGACAACCGACAGAAGCAGCACCCAGGGCCGACGATACACAGACACCCGATCACTTTGGTGATAGTGATAAGGAGAGGAGAAGATGATAAGCGTAAAAAGAAGGAATAGAGAAGAATCAGTTGAAGAAGAATATGAAAAGGTGGCGAGAGGTTTTAAGAGAGAGGACACAGTTCGAGCCATCGCAGTCATCATATGGTGATTGGTGATCCAACTGATTCTTGTTGCACATTTTTCAGACTCTTCTCAGAAGAAGAGCTACAGTAATCCAAAATTCAACAATGCAGAGGAAGGAAAAGAGTGTGAGATACAGTATGCCAATTGTTCAATTTGGGAGCTGAGATAATCCGATTAAAAAATTCGAAATCGAAAATACAGTAACCCTTAAAGTGAACGTCATTGGGTCAGTCATTCGATAAAAAAAGTCGAACTGTCGCATCAAATGAATAAGAGAGTCGGAGACGTAGAGAATTGTAATTTATTAGATTTTCAGATTTTCTAGTTGAGACATAGGTCATGACTAACTGGGATTAAGATTAGATGCAGAAAAAAATCGGGAAACATTATTTTTTCAGAACATTTTAAGCAGGAAATGAGCTAGAGATTAGTGGGGGAGATAAGCTTACTAATACTCTTTCTCGAGGCAAGAAAAAAAGAAAATTAGATTAGCCCAATTCGGAATCTTGTTAGAATCGAGAGAGCTAGAAGTGCGAGAAATCAGAAGACTTCGGTGGTTCTCAGTATTGTCAGGGTCAGACATTCTGCGGTAAATCTTGTCGGCGGAGAAAAAAAAGAAGAAGAAGTGTTCCACGGGGGGCGCCAGGCGGCCGTTAGGCCATTGGAGTGGCAAAATGCAACACAAAAACGATGAGGAGCGGCGGCGGCGACGGCGGGACATGGGGCATGGAGATAGAGAATGAAATAGCATGAGAAAGCTAATGAACGCAGAGTGAGAAGGAAGAGAAGAAAGGAATGGAATGGTTGGTTGGAAAAATTGGGAATGTCGGAGGAGTAGGAGAAGGAGAGGCACACTCACTCACCGGGAGAAAAAAGAGACGTCCGGCGTCTTCTTCTTCTCTTGGCGACGATGAAGTAAAGAAGAAAAAGGAGAAGAGAAAAAATATCTATGAATGTATGGAAAAAAGGTCTTCGGATTTGTCTGTCTCATACATTTTTTTTGAGTTTTCTTTTTTTTCAGGACCTAGATCCCAGGTGATTTTCTGTCATTTTTCGACAAAAAAAAACACAGATGAGATTGATTAAAAACCACCTAGCTAACCACTGACGCCTGAAATGAGCAGAAATGAGCAAAAGTGCGAAAGTGAAGGGATTTTGGATATAGAGAGAATAGCTTCATAACTAATTAGACGCTTCTACACTCACTTTCACAGATTACTACAACTCTTCTTTTTTCTCACTTCTTCTTCTCGCTTCGTTAACTTAAAAGATGAGGAGCAAAAGGAAATGAAAAAGAAGGGAGGAGATGCTCTTCTTCTGCTGTTTCACTTACTGTGATTAGCCTTTTCTCCCCTCCCCATTCCTAAGGATCATCTGATTCCCGGTGACCACCACACCATTTGCCAAGATGCCGCCCCGAACAAGTTGCTCTGTTGCTCAGTGGTCTCTCTCTATTATGGATCTACGAGTTTTAAGGCATCACTGGTTTAGTAGAGATCATCATAGAGGGGATTATCTTTATGAATGTGCTGGAAAAGCATCAGCTCAGAGGGATGGCTCAAAAAGTTTCCTCGAGCAAAACTAGTAGCTACAGTAGGGTTTTTATAATATAAATGACCTCAAGGTGAGATTTCGAACGAATCAAAAAATGGTTGGGATGGAAAAAAAAGCAGTGGGAGAAGAAGTTTTTACTGCAGTTCTGTCATTTGATGGACACTGCTACTAGTAAAAAACAAGTTCCTCCTCCTCCATTTTTTTTTTCCATCTTTCATCGTCCTTTTCAAGTATTGCGTCAACGTCTTCGAACGAAGACTTCGCGTCCATTTGGGAATGGAAGGGCGAACGAATCAAAGTTAAGAATCAGATCTGATGCCTCCTTACTTTTTTTTTTAAGTTTTGCAGCAATAAGACGACCAAACGTTTCAATTTGATCCTTAGACTTTGCCCAATCTATCAAACTCCTTCAGACCCTAAAATTCAGATCATCCGATTCTTTTTCAGGATCAACAGGGGAAAACAAATGGAAAATATCTCATTGGAAATCCGACACCCGCTGGTCCAGAAGATTCTGGAGTCCAAAACAAACTACTCCATTTACTCATTTTCAGTTTCTTTTCAAAAAAGAGCAAATGGAAGGGGTGAGTAGTTACAGAGACACTTCCTGGAAGTCTTCCAGGAAATTGGAAGAAAGGAGAAGTCTAGAAGCGAAAAGAACAATTGACCTATTTCCAAGCCAAGCTGAAAAAAACAAAAAAGGAACCATCGGTCTGGAAAAGGGGTCCATTTGAAATGCAATACTTCCCCAAAAAAGAAGCAAATTTTCAGATGGCGGGGGAATCGTGAGTCATGACTCACATAGTCTACTGGAATTTCAATCAACTCCTTTAATTGTCGTCGTTTTTTCAGTCCCCAACCCATCTCCTCTCAGAATCTAGAATGAGAGACGAAGAGACGCAGACATTCGTCTAGAACAGCTCATGTGATATTCGGGGACATTCGGGGACCTTCTAGGAATTTCCCAGAACTTTGGGCTTTTTGGTATTCGAACAAAAAGGCTACCAAGTACATGACATAGTGAAATCAAGCAAAAAACTTCTTTGTATCCCCAAGGGACGTTGTTTTCGTCTGTTTCATAGAACAGACATCATTTTTCGAGATACACTCTTTCAGAGATAAGAATCTCAAAAATTCGTTACCGGCAAGTGTTCCTCGGAAAGAAGATTCCAGAATCGAAGAAGAAAAGTACATTTTCGTCTCATTAACACGAAGGAGTACGGTAGGGCCGCAAACGGAGGCGAATGAAAACTCGAATGAGTCTCCAGAACTACCCATCAGGAGGAAGCGTGGAAGCAGCAGCATCTGTTGACATAATCCCATATCCTTCATAATCGCACCGTCATTAACGTCATCATAGATTTGCCCATTGACATTAAGATCAGTGTGTGCTAGTAAGACTAGGCTTATAGGTCAGAAACGTGGGTGTCACATGTTCTTGAACCATTCCCCTTTAGCCAAAGAGTTTCAGTGATAATCCGATCGATGACAAAGAGAATCTTTATCCTGGCTTTCAGCATCATCAATCTGTCAAATAATTCGATGGTGGTGGTGGTGAGAAGACATCACATGCTCTCCATATCTCTCGAAATGAGGTGATCAGGAGAGGAACGAAAAGAATCGAAGAGGCGAGAAGAAAGGATGATCATGGCTCATTGAGCATTAGCAAGAAGGAGGGGGTTAAAAGTGTCGAAAAGAAAAAAAAACAGTGTCGGCGGAGGTGAACTCTGATTCTCTTCTCTCTTCAGAATTCGTAGACTACCGTAATCCTCTAAACACTTCCTCTTCACTCTCAGAAATCAGAAGGGGATGACTGCTGATGAAAAATTCCGCAAAAAGAGAGACGGGTCTAGAGACAGATGGAGTGGAGTGAGAAAAAAGTACAAGTTATCGGTATTCCATCACGAAATTTCGTCTGGTTTCCCCTTCGACGACATCGAGAGAGAGAGAGAGAGAGAGAGAGAGAGAGAGAGAGAGAGAGAGAGAGAGAGAGAGAGAGAGAGAGAGAGAGACAGCGTCGGGAAACCGAATCGAGAGGAACGGAGGGGAGGAGGAGAACCGATGAACCGGTTTTCAGTCCTCTTTTTTGCAGGAACAAAAAAAAGAGAAAAGAGATAACGTTGGGGCGACAAAAAATGTTGCCAGAATTCGCTCTCTAGGAATTTCAATTTTCAGACTTTCTCACTTCTAATTTTTATTGGTTTGTTTTCAGACAGGGCTCTGTCTAATAGAAAGGACATGGACCAAAACTTTGGTCCAAAAGTCAACAAGCCAAAAAAAAAATTTCCACGAAAAACTCTCAAAGTTCTGAGAGAGTCGTCCGCGAAGAACAATAACAAAAGTGCAAAACCGAAGGAAAACCCATATCAGTTTTTTTCTTTTTTGTAGGAGGAGGAGCTAGATATTTCAAAATTACAGTATTTTAGAGAACAATCAGCTGACAATGGTCATTTGAACTGTGAACCTCTATGAACCTTGAAACCTTTTTGAAAATCACCTCTCCCGAGACCCAAACAAAAACAATAGATGTCTCCCGCCACGTCATCTCATTTCACTCTTTTTTGAAGGAGAAGAATAAGAAGAAGAAAAGAAAAGAGTTGATATGGTGTCAACGCGTCTGTCTGCTATCATTTTAGCAGCGCCAGAAAGCGAAGATAGCGCCTTCTCGCGACGGTTGATCAAAGACTGGCATTGTATTGACAGTATCTAATGGCTCAAAAATTGAGAAGGACAAAGAGCATCTTCGGGGTTCTAGAATGATAGAGTACCTTTTGATCGAAACGAAAAAAAAATCGACTGGAAAAAATCATTCGAGAGGGAGACGAGACAGGGGGGTTGAAAAAAAAAACCAAAGGCCAAAACAAACACTTTCACTTTCACCCGTTCTGTGGGAGAGAGGAGGCAAAACGAAAAAAAATCATCACAGACAGACTTTGAGAGTAGGAACACATTTCTGACGAGTCTCTCTATCCTTCAGCTGAAATCCAGTGAGAGAGAGAGAAAAAGAAGAGACGCAGAGGTCGAGAAAAGTACAGTTGGATTATCTCGCGCCGGGAGCCGCCTAACAAATCCTTTTTTTTTGAATTTCAAACGAAAACGGTCATTAGCACACAACCGTATTTGCTCTAGTAGATGCCTACTTTTTACGTGCACTTCAAGCTCAATTATCTCGGTTCCTATGAGAGATATCAAGAATCTGTCAACTGGTAAAGTATCTGTCATAATATCACCAACATTTTATCAGTTGACAGATTTTTTATATCTCCCAGAGGAACCGAGATAATTGAGCTCAAAGATAACGGCATGGGTGGACTTCTGTTAGAACAATTCTAAGCAACTTGAACTCCTTTTTTTTCTAATTTTCAAGATGTCAGAAATCTCCCCGAATTTTCCTGCTGAAATTGTGTACCAAAAAGTGCATTTTCTCTTTTCCAAATACCCATTGTTTGCCGAAATTTCCCCTCTCTTGACTTTCGTTTTCCACCAAGTCGAAAAACAGCTGATGGAACTCAATGCGAGAGAGCACAAGCTCTGTAGAGGGTAGTCTGCTGTCTGGGTAGAAAACAGAGAGCAAACGAACGAAAAAACGGGACAGTTTTCGACCTCTGAACGTCACACACAGTGAGTAATATATTGGGATACTGTACTGCTGCCCGTCCTGCAAAAAGAGTCAGGTGACTATTTTGCAACAATTGGTAATTCTTCTAGATCTTTTCTTTCAGATCTTTTTCTCTTGTCTTCTTTTTTATTTGAGTCGAAAGCTCCGCGAGAATAAATTGGGGAAACCCCCTTTTTGTTTGCTCGCATTTCTGTCTTTTTTCCCTTCACGTGAATTTCACATGGGCGGGTCGGAGACCTCCTAAACAGCTGACACAAAAGGTTTCGATTTCAGATGATCAAACAGAAAGACAGACAAAAAATTATAAAAAGAAACAATCAAAAAAACTTTGGGTGGACGGGAATGACATCAATCTCACACCCAGAGGTTCTTGTGGTTTTCCTCTGAATCGAAAAAAAAATCACTTTTTGATGTGCCAATACCTCCCCTCCTAATAATCGGAAATTTCAATGATCAAAAACCACACATTCGCAGTTGAATGTGACAGATAAAAAGATGACGCGAGGCGACTGGGCGACCGAGAATTGAAAAATCACAGTAAAAGGTCAGCTGAGACCTTTTTTTAGGCGGCGCGCCGATGGTAATTGTATACCGAAATTGACAGGAAGATCTTTGGAATTCGAACGAGATCCGGATTCTGTGTTGTTTACGAGAAGAGAGACACCTTGATACCACAAGCTTCTTTCAGTAGTCTAGCGAACTGATAAAAAGTGCGTCGGGCGAAGAATTTTGCAGCAAATAAAGAGATTTTCCCCGATTCTTGTGTTTTAGGTACATATTTTTGTCAAAATTAGACCACCAGAAAAATCACCGGAAAACAAAAAAATGAAACTCATCGCGTACCTGTTTGTTCCACTGTCTACAGTCTCCAACGAAGTTTTGAAAAACGGGCGACCGATTATTTTCCGTTGCATAAACTGTTGAGAATACTGAGTAGTGCCACCGAACGACTGCGAGCGTCCTCTGTTGAGCTCCTGATCCCAGAAGGTCTCTGAAAACAATTTGAAGGTAAAAAATTGATTGGCATCAAAAAATTTCCGGGATATCCCGGAGAATTTCCAACAATTAAAAAAAATATGCTGATTACCATCAAAATCACTGGCAATACTCATTGCGGAGTCGGTTTCAACTGGTTTAAGACTGTGCAAAGTTACGTCCGATGATAGCGGGGAATCGGTCTGAAAAAACGAGATATTTTTCTAATGATTTTTAACAGACACACAGGCTGTGCAAACTTTTCGATTTTTCCCCGAAAAATAGGTTCAAAACAACTATTTTTAGCTGATGTGAAAATTGGGAAAATTGATTTCGAAATTCGCCGCTGGGTTACGGTAGTTTTGAGTGTATGCATTCAAAGTGTGTCTGCGTACGAGAAACAACATACCTCACGATATTCCCAGGCTTGCATGTCACGAGAGAAGTTTTCAAGAAAGTTTTGACAATCAAAGCAACGATTTGAAGTTTTTTGCTGAAATTTTGGGAAAATTTGAATTCCATTTCAGCTTACAAAGATTTGAAGCGAAACAACCTTAATATTCATGTCAGAAACCACAGTAAAAGGGGGCAAGAGTGAATACAAGAACGTGTATTTTGAAATGAGCAACACCAGGGAAAATAACAATTTTATATGTCAAAAGTTATTTCAAAATGGACTGTCTGGAAGTGATAAGAAGGAAAAAAGAGAAGAAGCTTATTTTGAAACACAAAAGCATGATTTTCGGCATTATTTCAAACCAGACAGGGCAACTGAAGGAAAGGAACGTATTCTGCAAAATTTTCCTTATCAAGAATCAGCTTTTGTGCGTTTTTCTCTTCCTCCATTTCATCACATGTGCCCCTCCGGTCAAATGATGGTAAAGTAAACCGATATGTCCTTCTTTTGCGGGAATATGAAGAGAAAAAAAACGAAAAGAAAAAGGACATGCGAATGCTTTTTTTCTCGTTGGTCGGGCATCGCCGAGGCGCAGAGGTTTCAGAGATCAACTCTTTTCGGGGCGACCCCTTGCGACGGCAGAAAAGAGATGAGTTGTTTACTGGGAAAGTGCAAAACTGTTTTATGAACTTTGAGACGGAAAAAAGAGAATAGAATATATGCTAGAAGATGTTGCACTGAGAAGATAATGCATTATCTAATAAGAAAAAAACGGATAGAATTTTTAAGTTTTTGGGAACAGTGAGAAAGGGGCAGAGAGGGAGAGAGGAAGAGAGAATTAGAGTGATAACGAATGTGTAATTTGCGGAAGCGGAAGGTTGAAAATGTTGAATTTTTGCAGTCATGGGCAAGGAGTTACTTTTAAATCTGTTCAGAAAATAATGAGCTTATGATTTCTTGTCTGCATTTTGCCGTTGTGTTTGCGGAAAGGTAGATTACTGTATTATTTAAATAATTTTTGCACCGTAGTTTTAAAAACATCATCACGTCTAGAAGCAGATGAAATCCCTAAATTCTGCACGACTATTCTACCGGAACGTTAAAATTTGTTCCGTTCTTTTATCTGATGAAATGCAGGCACCGCTGAGTAGCGACTCAGCAGCTCAATTTAATGCTTTCGCGTCGAGACCAACGCTAATGTTACTGTAGTATTACGGTTATTCGCATTTGAGCGCATTTACAAGTTTTCCGGGTTCAAAACATGTCGAAAATGGGTCTCTCGGGCCAAAAACAACACAATTCTATGGGTGCACTTTGCTACAATAACAGATTGAGGCTCAAATGAAAACAAATCAACATTAGAAAACGGTCAACTCTCAAAACTGAACTTATTTTCCTTCTACTGAAAAAAAAATAACAGAATAAAAAAACAGGCCAAAATGTTGCATTCTATTTTTTCCCCTGAAATCAGCTGGTGTGGTGTCTTGCAGTAAGAGCGGAGGGGGGGGGGGGACAAGAGATCCAAAGTGCACTAGACAGAGAAACAAGTCAACAAAAAGGGGCGGAGCCTCAGAATCGTCATGCACGTGGCACGTGTCTCTGCTGCCGCTCCATTTGTCCCCCCATCCGACCTCCCTTGGTCGCTCCCTTCTTTCCAAGGAGTGATCCCTTAAAATAAGCGATCACTTTCTTGCTGCCGGGCGCCGAATGTTCCCGTCTGTGATCTCCGAAAATTCGTGGCAAACTCTTCATTTTTTGTGTGATGTTTCAAATTGTATTGGGAACGAAACGAAATGATAAGGTATCAGAGAGGTGTGTGGTCTTCTAGATTACAGGAAAAAAGGTTTGGGAAACTGAAATAAACTGTTAGGTAGACAAATGGGAAACATGTGAATTAAGAATGAGAGATGTAGTTTGACTTGAAAAAAGGGCGAATGGAAGTATCATGTGGTTTTTTTTTGAAAAAGAAGAGATGGGTCTAGACACTTTGAAAAAAGATGAGCGATACTAAAAAGAAGTGAGTCAGAAGAGGGGTCATTTGAGAATTTCAAATGGACGAATACATAAATGCAAGGATTTCTAGTTTTTTGCAGAAAGAAAACGAATGAGGAAGAGATCTATGGTGGCCTAGAATCCGACCGAAAATGGAGGAACCTAGAGATCTTTGATTTTTGAAACGTAGAGAAGAAGAAGGAGGGGAGAAACTTGTGCTCACTTATCCAAACTGATCTACTAGCCTGGAAGCTTTTCTAGGTTTCCAAATTGGAATACTGTAGTCTTGGAATCAGAAAACCTCTGCCCTTCAAAACGACGCTCTTTGGTCTTCTGACCGCCCATCTTCGAGGGTCTTCCCTGACCCCAGCTGTTGGTCACATGCACTCTCTTTTTTCTATGGCGATGGCCTTTATTATGTACATAATTTCAAAAACCTATGATTCATATGAAGAATACAAAAACATATTGCAGAGGTTTTCTTTCTGTACAAAATTGGATTACTGTAGGAGATACACCGAATACCGTATTCACTTTAATGGACGCCTATCAAAACTGTCAACTTTGAGCTCAATTATCTCGGTTTGCTATGAGAGATATCAAAAAGTAGTCAACTGATGAAATATTGGTGATAATGTGATGAATAATTTATCAGTTGACAAGTTTTTAATATCTTCCACAGGAACCGAGATAATTGAGCTCAAAGTTGACGGTTTGGGTGGGCTTCTTTTCCAGGAAATACGGCAAACGTGCCACGGAGTTTCCTCTGTTATGATTTCAGAAAAGAACACATTTCTTTTACAAGGTCAACCTAGCTTTTTCAAGTTTATGTAAAAATTCTGAAACAGAAATTTTTGAAAGTTTTATTACTGTGTTTACGTTGTGTTTATCTTTACACACTTTCCATATGTTCACTTTGAGCCAATCTATCTCGGTTCTTGCAGAATATATCTAAAAGTTGTCAATTAATAAAATATTGGTGCCATTATGATAAATAATTTATCAGTTCATAAATTTTTGATATTTTTCAGGAATCGAGATAATTGAGCATAAAGTTGACGGTTAGGTTGTGCTTCTATTAGAGCAAATACCGCAATTTATACATACTGTATTCTCAAAAAATTGAATAAAATCTTATGAAGAGCTTATATAAATTGCATGTGAACTAAATGATCTACTTCCTACTAGCCTATGCTACTGTTGGGTTACGGTAGCCTATTCATACTACTCCGATTCCTAGAAAAGCAGAAATTGAAGCTATTCCAAAAAGAATTAATTCAAAATTCTCTCCTGTTGTGAAACCTCAACCTTGTTACGCCCCTTCTTCAAACCTCATAACTTTTCTTCTAATTACACCGTTCTACCCCAAGTGATTTCGGTTCTAACTGGTGACAGACACTTCTTTTGAAGTCATCCCCTTTCCGACAAAAACAACTTTGACATTTAGGAGCATTTTCAAAACTGTTTGAATATCGGAAAAGTTTGAAAAGGGGGAATAGTTTGAAGTTTTTTCACCTTACTTAATAGAATATCCCCAAACCGTCAACTTTGAGCCGATACCCTTGCTCCTGTGAAAGACATCAAAAATATGACAACTGATAAAATTTTTATTATAATATTATAAGCAATTTATCAGTTGACAGATTTTTGATATCTTTGACAGGAACCTAAATATATGAGCTCAAAGTTTACTGTTTGGGGACATTTTATTTTATTAAAATGTTTACGGTTTATTCGGGAGTTTTTCGAAGCATCTCAAAACTTCTGATTGTATGAGGATTTTTTTAAAATTTAGGAATTCCTGCCAAACCCAGAGAAAGGAACGATTCAAAAGTATAATATTTTGATAATGAAACCTTCAGATTTTTCTGTTTCAAGATGTTTACAGTAAATTAAGGATGCTTCGAAACTTTGGTTCATACGGAATGGTGTTGTTATCCAAATCTTCGACGAGAACACAACTTTCCGGATAATAGGTCGATATTTCAAAAATTTATAAATCTTAAAGGTCAAGGAGTTTTCGTTGTAAGATAACGCTGTGGCACTTTTACAGTATTTCCTATATAGAAGCCACCCAACCGGTCAACTTTGAACCCAATAAACTCGATTCCTGTGAAAGATATCAAAATGTTGTCAACTGACAAATTTTTTATCATAATATCACCAATATTTTATCATTCGACATTTTTTTGAAATCTTTCACAGGAATCGAGATAGTTGAGTTCAAAGTTAACCGTTTGTGTGGACTTCTATTTGAGAAAATACGGTAGATAAAATTTAATATATATATATATATAATTTAATATCTCCCTGAAACTTCACAAAGAAAAGCTGGGTAAACATCTCAAATAACAGTCTCTTGAAAAATGTAATACTTTAAATCTAAATAGTAGTTCATAAAACACCGTGTGAGCTCTGATATCTTGTGAGGGCAAAAATTGAATTAGTGAGTTCTCGGCGAGCCGTCACATGAATCAAGATTAGGCAACATTTTATGAAGGGCTAACAAACGGGTTTCGAATGAAATTTGCACTCCTCAGGTGAACGGGATTAGTGCTAATACTACATGAGCATATGATATAACTTGAAGATGATATTCTGATTTGGCCAAATAGAATGTATTTCGAAACTTTCAATTAGAGAAACGAAGCTGTCAATGTGTGGATTATTGGTGATCTCATGGATTGATTCCTTGGTTTTTCAAGTGGAACAGGGAATTTTAGTGGATCCACCTACTCATTTTGATGTCTCAAATTTTGATCAAAATTGTAGGATTTGAGATTCCCAAGTGATGTTAACTGGTTTAGGGATCTCGTAACTTCATGAAAAAATTCAAAGAAAGTTGGAAGCATCAGAAAAATCTGGAAACTTTTATAGGATTCCAAAGGTTTATTTTTGACCGAATTAGAAGTTTTTCTGAAATACCGCATTTCCTCTAATAGAAGCCCATGGGCTTCTATTTTACAACCTTTTTCTCGGGATGGGCTTCTATTAGAGGTGGGCTTCAATTAGAAAGTGGGCTTCTATTTTTCAATGATTAATTT